AGCCTTACATAACCCATCCCCAGCCCTTTTTTTTTTTTTTAATTTTGAGACGTAGTCTAACTAAGTTGCTCAGGCTAGCCTCAAGCTTATAGTTCTCCTGTGTTGGCCTGCAAGTAGTATCATGATTATTTTCATTTAGAAACTCTTAGCAGATATGATGATTACAAAGTGATTTGTATCTTGCCAAAGCTTGCTAATATTTACTATAATGAGCCCCTGTACTTTGCTCTAACAGTTAAGTCCACTTTCGTGTTTTGGGTGTTTTGGTATGGGGGATCAAATTCAGGACCTTGCACTTGCAAGCCAGCCACCGGAACCACTGAGCTAAATCCCCGGCCCTAGTTCACTTTTACATGCTAGATTGACAAGACAGAGATGATGATCCTGCCTTTCATACAGGTGTTGGTTCATAGTGTGGTGAGCAGACATTCATAGTTTAGTACAGTGGAACGCTAAGCTTGGTCGGGGTTGCCTGAGACATGGGAAAGGATAAGTAGGAATTAGTGGCAAATGAGCAGGAAGGATTAAGAAAGATGTTCCAAGAAAGGGGAGCAGTTTGTACAAAAGTGAACATTTTCAGTCAGTAAGATTGAGATTTGTAGAATGTGGGTTAACAAGAAATGAGACTACAGTGATAAATAGGGCTGAGGTGTGGAGAGCCTGTGGAGATTGGACTTCATTCTTAAGGTCATGAAAAAACAGTCAAAATTTTAAGCATTGAAGATTACCTATGTACATTTCAGAATGGGGGTTAGGAAACTACAGTTCTCAGGCCATCTGGCCCATGCCTTGTTTATGTACTGCCTTCAAGCTTAGAATAGTTTTTGAATACAGGACAGAGACTATAAGTGGCCTGTAGAGTCTAAAACACTTATTGTTTGGCCCTTTAAAGAAAAAGTTTGTCACCCTCTATTTGGGAAAGATCCTTCAGGTCATGATGAAAATGAATTGAATGGGTCAAATCTAGAGACCAACAGAGACTTCAGGAGGTAGAAGGCCAGAACCAAGGAAGCAGTGGTAGGAAGAGATTTAAAGATAGCAAAAAAGTTGGATTGAGAGGACTTGGTGATCATTGGATATGGAGAAAAAAAGAGTCCTAAGTTTTGGGTCTTAGACAAATAGCAGATGATAATGGCACTCACAACATAAGAATGGGAAGGAGCGATAGTAGGGGGAAGGAAATGATGGGTTGGACATGTTTCAGTATGAGGTTGAGTTATCTTAAAGTGGTGCTTCTAATGGCTTCCCTAGGATGGACCTCCACAGGACAAGCTGACACACATCATCTTTGGTTCTGACAGTGAAAGTGAAATGGAGGAGGCATCCACTCAGAAGCAAAACCTGCCAGGAGAACTTGTGAAAGTAAAATGTACCAGATGTCCCTGAGGACATTTGTCTACTTTGCAGATCCACATCTATTGTTCCATTTTAAGACCTCTGTAAAATAGCCAGTCCACACTGTGATGACAGGGTTCTAGAGATCTTAGCCCACATACTCCCATGTTTTCTACATCAAAGTCACATCAATATTAGTGAAAGATGGCAGGGACTAGTGTAATAACTGCCCCTGAAATTCAACTGGCATTGAGGACTCCATAAGAGCTAGTTAGTGAGCCCTGGGTCAAAAGTTCCCATCTAGCCAGGTGTGGTGCATGCCTATAATCCCAGTACGTGGGAGGCTGAGACAGTAGGATCACCTCAAGTTCAAGGCCACCCTGGGCTACTGGATGAGTTCAAGGCAAGCTTGAACTACTACATATGGAGACCCTGTCTTAAAAAAGAGTTTCCATCCACTCCACCATTTGCTTGTTCTTGGTATATTTATCTGGGTTGTTTTTAAATGTGGTGAGACTTCATTATGAAAGAAATGCTGATTTCCTCCATTAAAAAAATGTTTCTCTTTTCATGTATATAATAGGAATCCAAGGGTAAAGCATCTGGGAAGCTGTTTGACGGTGAAGATAAGGAATCTGATTCTGAGGATGACAGTGACAGGTTCAAAATTAAACCTGTTTGAGGGCAGAGCCGGACAAAAGGTTAGTGAAGACTAAAAACTGAAAAGCTTATAGCATTTCTATACTCCTTAAATCTAGGTAAATGTAGGCAGGTCTGGGCCTCCATTATAGGATTGGCTATTTCTTTGGGAAGGGAATCCTATGGGGAAGATTCTGATTGGCTCATGGGCAGGTGATGTTATGCAAACGTTATTGATGTGAATTTCAGGGCCTGGGGAGGGACACTTCGAGAGTCTTCTTTAGAAGCAATTTCTTGGGAATGTGGTTCTCACTTGTGTTTACTTTTTGTCTGTGTAGCTCATGGATTTACAGTTGCACTTTGGCAGTGATGACAGATTCCAAATGGACTCTAGATTTCTAGAGAGTGACAGTGAAGAGGAACAGGAAGGTAAATGCTTCATTGTTCAAAAGGTCTTGATGTGAGAACTAGAGATGTGAGAAATCTCCTTCATATTAAACACAAGAAGAAACTCTACACCTGAGACATTGGAGAGTTTGTAATCAAATGTTTTTGGTTAATGTTTCTTAAATTTACTTAGTAAAATTTAATTCCTTGAAGCTGCCAAATAGGACAGGAATAGATAGCATCCACTAAACATGCAGTTTCTTCCATTTCATTCCTAACAGAGGGAAAGGCGAAGTCCCTGGCAGTCTCAGTAGTGTGGCAGGTTCTGGTGAAGGCTATGGAGGATGGTTAAGTCACCCTTGGCTTTCTAATAGGAAGAGTCTTTTGTCTTCCACTGCTGTGCATGCTGGGTGCATGTTTTAAAAAGCAGTGTACCAAGGGGCCAGAGATTTAGCTCAGTGGCGCCATGCCTGCCTCGAAAGCACAAGGTCCTGAGTTCGATCCTCAGTACCAAAAAAAACCACCACAAAACAAAAAGCAATGTATCATTGAATGGCATTCTGTTGAATTCATCCTTATTTAGATGTATCTGAGAGGAATGATCCTATTAGAAGTATCCTAATTCTACTTTCTATGGCATTTTTTATAACAGTGGTTCCATATTATCTATAAAATCTTACCTCCTGCCGGGTATGGTGGTGGGTATGGTGGTGCGTGCCTATAAACCCAGTACTCAGGTGGCTGAGGAGGAGGACTGTGATGAGTTCAAGGGCAGCCTGGGCTACATAAAGAGATCTTGTCTAAATAAAAGAAAAAAAAGATTTTACCTCCTACATGGCCACTTTGAATAACCTCTCCCTAAATCCCTCTCCTAATCTCAGAATCTCTATCCTTGTCTTTTGTATTTTCTCCTTCCTAGGTTCATCTAATTTGCACCTTAATCCTCACCTCATTTGTGCACCCTCTTTCTCATATAGTTTCTGATGAGTCTGTTGATTCTTTTAGGAAACCAAGGTCAGAGAGGCTTACAGTAAGTTTTGCATGGTCCTCACCACCTTATGTATTTAACCTGACACTCTACATCAGATTTCCACTCAAAATCCCATATGGAAAGCAAAAGAATGAGCAGAACCTCGAGAAGAGCCTATATTGTAGTTAAAGATAGTGGTTACTTTGCTAACTCCTGCCTCTCTTGTCTGTTTCAGTACCAAAAACAACCTCTCATGTGCAGTGGCATTTTTCCAAATGGCTCTCCTATCTTCTTTTCCTTCCTCTTTTTTTCTTAAATTTTTTCCTGCCCAACTTGTTTATTTTTTTTGCGGTACTGGGGATCGAACTCAGGACCTTGCACTTGCAAGGCAGGTGTGGTGCCACTGAGCTAAATCCCCAGCTCACTGCCCAACTTTTGAGACACAATTTTTGTTTATTCCACAAATAAAAAGCACAGCAAGACTGCATCACCTCCGCTGTTCTTACCATTATATTCTGCTTTCCAAATGATTACTATTAGGTTAAAATTGAAGTTGCTGTTTTTAGAAGCTAAAATTATTGAATATTAGCATTTTCATGTTTCACCCTAGTATAATGTAAACTTTGGTACTTTGTTCCTTTGGCGTATGTATTTCCTTTGTTTCCTATGTGCCTCCTCCCACTTCTGGGGATCTGCTGTGTCTTTCTTACCTCATACTCCACCTGGAGTATAAAGCATTTCTTCATCCAATTGAATACAGTCCCTCCTTTTTTTTTTTTTTGAGACAGGGTCTTGCTGTGTAGCCCAAGGTTGCCTCAAACTCACTGTGATCCTCTGCTTCAGCCTCCTGAGTGGTGGGATTATAGGTGTGTGCCACCATGCCCAGCTCTACCTCCTTTGAACCCCTAGAAACTATTGGGGCTTCTCCATAAAAACTTAAGTAAGCATTTTATTCTAGTTTCTGTTGTTTATTTTCTGCAGTAAGTTAAGGCTTTTAAAAGCTTAGGTTTCTTTCAAATATCTATGATCCAAACTATCTCTTTGACTTGGTACTCTGATATTTGTCTATTTTTAGTAGTTGAGAGTAGCAGCTTATGAAGTTCTATGATGCCTTCAGAATGACGGGTACATGGCTTTTTTTCCTGCAATACTTAGGACTGAATCAAAGACTGAAGCAACTATTTATTCAAATATCAAATTAACAGTAAATTTATTCTTTTTTTTTGGTACTGGGGATCGAACTCGGGTCCTTCTGCTTGCGAGACAGGTGGCAGAACCTCTGAGCTAAATCCCCAGCCTAACAGTAAATTTTTTATCTTTCCCTATCCTTATTACTTTTAGACTTCATATAATCTACAGTATATTTTTTGAATGTTAAAAATATCAAAGTCTATAATCACTTTAGTTTTATAATTAGCATCTTGCTGTATTATATTCAGTCTTACTGTTAAAATTTTAGACTTGCCACAAAAACTATTAAATCCAAATTTCACTTTCATAATTACAAATAAAAGTGAGACATTTTATTTGCTGCTCATGTGACTTTTTTCACTTTGCTGTACTATGAAGTCTTGTGCATGGGAAGTTAGTGAAATGAGATCCAATGTTTTTTACCTCCTGATATACTCTGGATATGTTTAGGTGCTTGTTTTAAGTACTGGGTGATTGATATTTTTCAAGTTATATTTGTGAAAAGATACTAATTGAAGATACTAATTGTCTTATTTCCTGAAAGAGGTCAATGAAAAGAAAACGGCTGAGGAAGAAGAGCTTGCTACAGAAAAAAAGAAAGCTTTGAATGTTGTGCAAAGTGTTTTGAACATCAACTTAAACAACACTACAAGCAAAGGGCCAGTAGCTGCTAAGAAATTTAAGTATGGTTTATATTCTGTCCCATTCTACCATATTTTCCCTTGCCATAAATGTCTTCTTTAAGTGAGTTTAAAAGTAGGTCTTTTTGTTTTATTCCCACTTTTTTGCAGTGCTGGAGATTGAGCCCAGGGTTTTGCATGAATGCTAGGCAAGCACTGCATCACTGAGGTACACCCTTAGTTTTGCTGGGTCATTTTTGACTTATTAGAGCATTTGGCAACATCTGTCAGGTTCTTAAGAATATTCTTTGACCCAGTGATTCACTTCAAGAAACTAATTAAATTATTACATACACAGATGTTATTCCTTTATTTACATGCATAGATGTCTTAATATTCTATTAGTGAAACAACTGAAAACCATTTTATATATTAACTCTAAAAATTTTTAAGCTGGAAAATTTCAAACATATAATTTAGAGAGACTAGTGTAATAAAACCTCAGTATCAAGCTTCTAAGATCACCAACACATGACCACTTTTCTATATCTATATAGAGATCTATATCTGTATTATATATCTATAACCCTAGCCTTATCCAATGGAATATTTTATGCAAATTCTAGATAGTATGTTATTGTATCTGTATGTATTTTTAGTATATTTAGAATAATTTTTGAGGTTAACAAAAGATTCAGAGAAACTCAAAAGCTGATACTTAAAATATTATTTCTAGGGCCAGAGATTTAGCTCAGTGGTTTCACCACCTGCTGCACAAGCACAAGGAGCCGAGTTTGATCCCTGGTACCAAAAAAAGAAATACATACATACATATATATATTATTTCTAGTAAGATCATAATACTCTTCTTTGATATCATTTAGCTTCATTTTCCACCCAGAATTTGCCATTAGGTTTTACACTGTAGTTTTGATTTATCTCTTCCAGCCTTTATTTTTTTCTTTTTTACATAGGGATATCATACATTATCCAACGAGTCATGACCACATCACTTATGAAAGAACAAAAGATGATAAACCAAAAGAAAGGTAAATCAAGCTATCTTTTACCTTACAGTTCTGCTAAGCTGCTGAGATATAATGACTTGAAATCCCATAGAAGAAATTTTGTTTGAACAATTGAAGTTTATTAGCTCTGTTTACAATCTTAACAAAGGATTTTGTTTTATTCTTATTTTATTTATTTATTTATTGGTACCAGGGATTGAACTCAAGACCTTGCACTTGTGAGGCAGGCAGTGGCACCACTGAGCTAAATCCCCAGCCCTATACATTTTTCTGTAATGGGCCAGATAGGAAATATTGTAGGCTTTGCATACCTGACAACCTGTTTTATGATGACTCCCCTGTACCTTTGTAGTAGAAAAACAGGATATGAGGAAAATGTGTTCTAATAGAAGTACTAATGGATGCTGGAATTTGCCTTTTATATGAAATCATCTTTATTTTTCCCCAGTCATTTCAAACTATAAAAAAAATACTTGATGTGCATTTAAGAGATACAGGCAGCATCATGGACTTGACTCATGGGCCATAATTTGCTAGCTCTTGGTTTAGGTTATGTTTTCCTGAGAGTATCATAGAGTCAATCTTTGCTTAAAAGTCATTTCTTAAATTTCCTATCATTTGCCTTCTGGGTATTAGGAATCTTCAAAACCATGAGGTTCTGGCTGCTCTAAAAAAATTCTCTCTCCAGTTATACTCTTCTCATTTTACTATAAGCAGCAAGAAGCAGACAGACAAAATACCTTCTACATTTCCCTAGATATCTTCTTAGCTAGACAACCCATATAATTAGGTCCATTAATACAGGTACCAGATTTTTTGATCTTTCTGCCACCACATGACAGGAGTCCCCTTTCTTCCAATTTCCAGTTATACTTACCTGCAAGCCCTTACCTGCAGTCTCCTCATCTGAATCTTCTCAAAGGCCATGTAGTTTCTACTAACAGTTTCTTCAAGATCTGTTAAGTTTTTGTTATGACCTTACCCTCAGAGTCACATGCTGTCACATCTGCCTAATCTCTTCATTAAAATAGTTTACTACATCCACCCCATGCTCAAGAGATGAAGAAGTTAACTTGCACCTCTTGAAAGAAGTTATCAAGGAGTTTCTGAAGCAGTCTTCAAACTTTTTTTTTTTGGTACCAGGGATCGAACTCGGGTCCTTGCGCTTGCACAGCAGGTGGCGAAACCACTGAGCTAAATCCCCGGCCTTCAAACTATTATATGGTGGTCCAATAATAATTACCTGGAACTATCTGGATGGACACTATTTTTTAGTCCAGCTCAGTTTCACTGGAGGCACGTCTGTCTTAAAACCTCGCCAATTTGGTTTATTTTATAAAATATGAACAGGTTTTCTCTTTGACATGGTGTCTAAGTTATGTAGGACATCCTGTTTACTTACATTGTAGGTAATTCATTAAGAACTTCTGGCCTGTCATATTGAAGGGACACTTAACAGGAAGGATTTTAATCTGTGTGTGTGTGTGTGTGTGTGTGTGTGTGTGTGATTAAGGATTGAACCTCAGTAATGGTGTTCCACTGAGCTATATCCCTAGCCTGTTTTCTTTTTTGTTTTGTTTTGTTTTGAGACAGGGTCTCACTAAATTGTCGAGCGTGACTACAAACTTGCAGTCTTCCTGCCTCAGCGTCCCAGAGAGCTGAGAAGGATTTTAATCTTTCATTAGTTAAAATCTCAATATTAGAAATGGCCATGTAACTTTTTATCTGAGCTCAAAAAGAAAAGCATATTCATTCCTAAATATAGAGAATTATAATAACATAAAAATTTCATTCCTAAAGAAACTAGATTTAGCATACTTGTAATTCATTTCTAAAACTGAATTATTTATTTTCCATCACTTCTGTAAAATTCACTTTTAGAACTTAAAATGATCTTAGAGGTTGTGTTCATTTTGCAGCTGGGGAAATTTCAGGTGCCCCAAAGCTAAGTGACTTTTTTACAGCTAATGGTTTCAGTGTAATTTTTTTTGTTGGTTTTGTTTCCGAAACCAGGAATTGAACTCAGGATTTTGCACTTGTGAGGCAGGCATGGCGCTACTGAGCTAAATCCTTGGCCCCTTTTTTTGTTGTTTTTGAGACAGGGTCTCACTGTGTAGTCCAGGCTGGCCTTGAACTCAATGTGTAGCCCAGGCTAGCCTTGCACTTACAGCAGTCCTCCTCCCTCAGCCTCCCAAGTGCAGGGATTACAGGCATGTGCCACCACGCTTGGCTCAGTATAATTTCTGAAATGTAGTTTAAAAGAAAGCAATAGAAGAATGTGATTCACATTTAGAGTTTGTATCTATAGTTTTATGTTTTTTTAAAAAAGCTTATTGGTCAGGATTTTGTATGGATCTTAGTTGTTGAAAGGATGGAATTAAACTTATCCAAGTGTTGGGGAGGGGGGATTAAGTTATCCAAAGAGTTTACCTTTCCTGAATTTTAGGAATTTCCAAAACTTGTTTCTGTCTGATGTGCCTGTCTATATATATATGTCACTCTAGCAAAGCAAAATGGAAGAAAAGGGAGGAAGCTGAGAAGCTACCTGAAGTGTCTAAAGATATGTATTATAACATTGCTACAGACTTGAAAGAAATATTCCAAGATACAAAAGATACCACTGAGAAAGAAAAAGACAAACCTAGACACAAGGGATGTGGCAGAGAGAAGAATGAAGAAGTCCACAGTGTCGTAGCCCTGATGAGTGGGGCTGAGCAACCCAGCAAGTTTATGTTCTCTTTTTTTGATTCAGACTCTAAAAATGTAAAAGAAGGTACTTTTCCTTTTTTTCTCCACTTTTTCATTTCAGGCAGACTGTATTTAATTGATGGTCTCCATTAAGTGATAGATTTATCACTGTCTGAGTAAAGGATTATTTCTGTCACTTAAATGAACAATATGAGATTCAGTGCTGCATGATTGTAAATGTCATGTTCCTAAAGCCGTGAAAACTTGTTTTGCTCTTAGGGAGTGAACTTTTGGCTAGCTCCACATAAAGAGAAGCCAAAGAATAATTCATTGGATCTCTTCTTACTTTAGCCATCATGAAGAAGTAAAATAAATCATTTGAATTGCTCCATGTCTTAAATGCAGTTAGATGCCATGACTTACACAAAACTAGTGCTGTAAATGGTAGGAGAAAGGAAGAAGTAGATAACCTTGGTTTTATACAAATATTCTGTATCATCACTATGCCAGTTATTTCAAACTTTATCCCTGGACATTTGCCAGAACCTAGAGAAGTGTATAGAACAACACCGATAATTTTGCATACTATTTCAAGAGATTTACCTCTTAAGGCAAACCTAGGCCACATCTGAAAATACCTGTTCTTTAGGAGGCTGCTCCGTACCTAGTGTTCACGATACATGTGCAGCATCCTGGAAGTTCACTATAAAAAGCAGGATAAACCTGGTATTGTGGCACATAACTGTAATCATAGGGTAAGGGAAGCTGAGGCAGGAGGATTCCAAGTTTGAGCCCAGCCTGTGCAACTTAGTAAGACTCTGTCCCTAAATTTTTAAAAAGGCTGGGAATGACATAACAAAGGTCTTGGGTTTGATCTCCACTACCACCAAAAACAAAAGAGAGAAACAAAAAAACAGTGTAGACCTGTCCAACAGAATCCATGCACAGGTACAGTGATTCTATTGAAAGATCAGCCTTTAAAATATTATGTATGTATACAGCAGATACATATCAAATGTCTGCTCTGTGATATTCCAAAAGAAACTACTGCAATGTGGTAGTTTTTTCAAAATTGTAAATATGACACAATGTGACATATGCTCTGCTTATTTTATGTTCTTACCTATGTTGTACATCTGAGCACCAAAGTCAGAACAACTATTGAGTGTAGTTGATGGGCACAGAGAGCCACGTGTAAGAAATTGACCTTAAAATGATTCCTAGTCACCACAACCCAGGTTTTTTAAATACCTGAAAAAGTTTGAAGACTTGTGAGGTTAACTTTTCAGATCTTATAGCAGTAGCTTTTTCAGTGGTTCTAGAAAGAGGATATTGGGAATTGAAAATGTAAAGATATATCTTTTTTGTCATTTATAAATAAGTGGGATGGAAATCTGGTTTTACTAAATCATGTTGTATTTTATTTAGGCTTCTACTTCACAGATGCCATAGTTATTTTGTTCTCTTTTTAAAAGTTATATTTCTCATTTATAAACCTTTAGTTTTTATGCCTATTTATAATGTTATTATATTCTCTATTTGATCACTTTTAGCAATGCCAAAATTAAGATAGTAGCTTGTTTCAATATGTGAAAATTGAAGAAGGTGATACTTACTTTAGGAGATGGGGCTATAGCTCAGTGGTAGAGTGCTTGCCTAGGATGCACAAGGTCCTAGGTTTGATCTCCAGCCCTGCAGAAGAAAAAGGAAGAAAGAATAAGACACTACCTTGGAAATTCAGATATATGTACATGGTGAAAGTAATCAGTTGAATGTGTTCAGAAATACTTGGTTGCTCAGTTACCATCCCATTTTATTTTTTTAATTGTCAAAATGATATAGAAACCTATAAAGTTGAAACAGTGCAACCTGGGAAAATGGTCTGGCAAGAAGATCCTCATTTTCAAGACAGCACTTCAGAAGAGGAAGATGTTACTGAAGAAAAAGATCACAAAAAGCCCAGCCCTGAGTAAGGGATTTGTTTATGTGTGGGTTTATTTCATAATTTTTAAAATATAAGTATTTTGGAAATTACTTAGGTTAACATTCATGAGACAACCTAATTTTCTCAGCCCCTATAGAGGTTTCTTCAGCCTTTTTATAATGGAGAAGGTGTTATCATTTCCTTGAGATTTGGATAACACTGCATGGGGGATAAGATGAGCTTAGGGAATGAGCCTAGAACAGGATGTTGCAGTTGGCTGGGGGCCTCCCTATGTGAAACACTAGCAAACAGGGTAGCAATGGTAGAAGTGAGAATATTACTATCCATAGTTGGGAAGAGAGACTTTGTACCTAAACAAATTATCAGATTGATAGAAGAATGTTGAAAGCACAAAACAGTTAATTTTCACGAATAGTTTATATTTTCAGTGGAAATATTTCTTCTTAAATATTAAAAGTTAACCAATATCTGTCTTTTTCTCCCTCCTTCCCTTTGCAGAGAAGCATCATTTCCCGAAAAAGAGACCACTAGATTTTTCTTTTTCTCTAATAATGATGAAAGACTTCATGGTAAGCCTTTTTTTCTATTGAATGGTATAGAACAGATAATAGCACAGTTCTTACGCACACTGAAGTGCAGTGACTCACATTTGGGAATTCTGACCCTCTACAATGGCCTGTGTTGACTTGGAACACTCTTTGGGAACTGAGAGATCCTCACTCAGTATGTTCCTTGCTCACTGATTATCATGCACAAGGACTTGCTTAGATGCTAGATATAATGCCATGAAAATCCACATGAAAACCTCCAGGCTGATGGTGAACTCACTTTACTTTTTCATTGCTGTTTTCTATTTTGTGGTACTGAGAATTGAACTGGTGAGTACTCTACCACTGAGCTTTATCCTCACCTCTTTCCATTTTGAGACAGAGTCTCAATAGGTCAGTACATTTGCCAAGGCTAGGCTTGAATTTGTAATCCCCTGCCTCAGCATCCCCAAGTTCTGGAATTACAGGCATGTGTCACCGTGCCCAGTTTTTATTTTTTGAGACAGGGTCTCCCTAAGTTTCCGGGCTGGCCTCAAACTTTTAATCCTCTTGTAGCTGGCAGTCATGGGCTACCTCCTTTTGGGGGGCTGTGGGGGGTGCATACAAAAGCACTATGTAGATCAGGCTGGCCTTGAACTTACCATGTAGCCCAGGCTGACCTCGAACTGGTGGCATTCTTCCTGCCTCGGCCTCCCAAGTGCTAGGATCATAGGTGTGCGCCACCATGGCCAGCTTTTGTTTCTGATCAAGGCTATTTGGAGTCCTATATGCCTCACTTATCTGTATGTTAAGCTCTTTTCCCGCTTGGGAAGTTTTCTGCCATTATTTCTGTGAAGAGATTTTTTTATGTCATCTGCACTCTCTGCTATTTCTTCATTGACTCCAATCAGTCTTATGTTATTCTTCTTTGCATCATCTAGCAGCTGCTGGATTGATTTCTCATGTTCCCTTACAATTTTAAAGCAGTTTTTCTTTTCCTAGTCACTAATTGCAATCTTATCTTTTATATCTGAAATTCTGTCCTCACATTGGCTCATTCTGCTGTGTAGACTTTCAGTGGAGTTTTTCATGTCCTAGAAATCTATTTGCATCTGTTTTATGGATTCCATTTATTTCCTATGTTGGGATTCCATCATGTTCCTGAGCTCCTCTCTAGATTTATTAATGATGTCTTGCACTAGGGGCACAATTTCTCCTGTTATCTGAGAAATTATTTCTGATTTCATTTTTTCCAGATCCCCTTTTGTTGCCAGTTCAGTGAGTCCAGGTGGTTGAGTATCAGAGTGTTCCATCTCATTTCCCTTTGGGGTTGCTGTAGGTGATCTGGAAGTCTGGTTTTGAGACTTATTTATGTGTCTTCTCATTTTGACCGGGGGTGGGGTGGGGTGGGGTGCTGTTGGTGCCTGCGCGGATTACCTCCTCTGAGCTGAGAGAGGTGGGACAGGGGCTGGGAGCAGCGATAGGGATGGTGGCCGGGAATCCCCTTCCTCTGGACCAGGAGCAGTGGGACGGCGGCTCAGAAGCCCCTACCTCTGGGCCAGGAGCAGCAGGACTCAGTACCGTGGTCTTGTGGTCCGGTGTCCTCTGCGTCTTTGTAGTGTGGAACCAGGTGGCTGCCTGTCTGCAGCGGGCTGATTGTGTTCCCAGCTTTTGTTTCTTTTTATTCTTAAAGCATAGAACAAGGAAAAACAAGGTTATATAACAGTAAATAATATATAAACAGTAAAATTCTAGCAATCTGTTTTTAATTGTGTAAGAAAAAATGAAATATTTTTGAAAAGTTTGTATAAATTGAAAAAATGATCTTAACTGGAATTGGGGGCCTTATAATACCAACCTGAGGATGTTATCCATTTAGATAGTGATGTGCCCCCTCTTATTTCTTGTTTTCCCCTTATAGGTTCTGACTTATTCTGGAGAGGTGTGGGAAGTAATATTAGCAAGAATTCTTGGGAGGCACGAACAAACAGCTTGCTTATGGTAAGTATTGTTCCTCCATATTAATTGTCTCCAAAAATAGGTAAGGTTTTATCTTTGTGTTACTGTTTCCTTGGTGTAAAAGTAACCAGAATATGATTTAAAAATTTAGAAAGGATGGCAACTGAGAACATAATGTAAACGTTCCAAATTATGGTAATAGAGGAAACTTAAAACTCAAACCACAAGGGCTGAGGATTTAAGTCGGTGGGTGGCACCACTCCTCCCTCAAAAGCACAGGGTCCTGAGTTCAATCCCCGGTACCAAAAAAATCCTCAACCCACAAGTGGTGCTGATGAGAAAACTGAATATTGGTTTATTTGAGTAATTGGTCCTAGTGTCCAGCCAGGGTCATTAAGTTACAGGAAATCAGGAGACTTTTAAAGACCGAATTATTTACCCTAAACACTTAAGCCAAAAGTTTGAATATACCCTGTGAGTGATCATTCCAATAAGCAGTTCTAAAATGGGTTTCCACAGTTCAGACAATGATAATAACCTAATCTTACCTTGTAATTATTGAAAATAATTTGTATTTATTGTTAAGTCTTCTGATTTTACAGGATTGTCGGAAGAAACATAAAGAAGCAAAAAAGGAAAGTTAAACCAAAATAATAAATATCAGCATTGGTTTTGAAACTGTATGGAAACAAGGCTTACCAGGAAATTGACCTACAAATAATTTTAGCCAACAAAAAGGACATTTCAGAGCAGAGAATATTCAAAATCTGGCTGGTGGAATACCATTCTGGTCATCTTTTTCTGTGGAATTCCTTTGTATTTTATCCTAGGTAATTTTTTTTTTTTTTTTATTTAAAATTTATTGTAATGGGATCTGCGCAAAAGAAGGGGGTGGAGGGAGGGGAACATGCAGGGGACACAGGAACACGATAGCATGGCCAGGGCCACAGCTTCTGTTATGGGGAAAAGGGTGAAAAGAGACCAGGGCTGGAGCTGGGGTGGAAGAGGGAAGTCTTTCCCCCCGCCCCAGGAAGCACCTCTATCCCCGCCCCACTAGAGTAGCCCGACCCTAAGATGCCATCTCTCATTCTGTGTCTGGCCCTAGTGGCTCCTCTTCAACCCTTTGACACCCCCCCCCCCCCACACACACAGATTCTTAAGCAGGATGATGTTGAGGGCCCAACCCCAACCACCCCATCTGCTGGAGATCTAACCTCTACCTTCCCTGCTTCTGTTCCTTCTCACCGTTCTCCCTTTAGGACAGAATCTTTGATTCCCCTCCTTCTCCTCCCTCCCCCTGGGGAAAAAAAACAACACACCAACTCCCCAGGGAGAGGCAGCAGGCAGTGGGGGGAGGACGGGAAGGAGGGGAGCACGGGCCACGGGAGGAGAGGCTCACAAACCCCTGGGGGGCAGGGGGCCGAGGGAGGAAGGGATAGGGCAGTGGCTGCTCCTGTCCTGACTCCCCTGCCCCCGTCCGTGGGACTTCAACACAGCTGAGGGACAGGTGTGTGCAGGGTCAGCTGATAGGAGAGAGGAGCAGGAGAAAGAAATCGTTAAAACCTAGTGAATTCCCCTAAGAACCATTTCTCTCTCTCTGGAGGCTCCTTGGTTGGAAGGGACTAGTGAGGAGTTGGTGGGACCAGAGAGGGGGAGAAGAGCCTGTACCAGGGGGCTTTCCCCCACTTTCCCGTCTCCCCCCACCAACTTGGAGCTCACAAGGGCTGGGAGGGAAGTGGCTGAGAGCTCACTGGCATCCCCTGGGCCCCAGAGTGAGCCCAGAGCTGTGGGAGGGGCCGCCGACGCCATCAGACACACCTCACCAGTACCTGGTGGGTGCGGATCCCCCTCAGCAGCTGGGCTGTGGCTGGGGAGCGTCTCCTGGGACGGGGGGTTCGCCCCCCCCCCCCAGGTGGGTCTGCATGTGGCCGGCGAGCCAGCGTCTTGCAGTGCACGCTGCACAGCTTGCACAGGATGCACAGGATGCGGTCAGCCCGCGGGGCCTGGAGCCAGTGGTCCTTCACCGCGTGGATGCGCAGGTATGCTGTCGTGGTGAAGCCTTTGTTGCAGAGTTCACAGACATGGTGAGGGCCCTGGCTGTGCACCTTCATGTGGTCCGAAATATAAGCCGAGCTCAGCATCTTGCCACACACGTGACATGGTACCTTCTCTTCGTGTTGTACTGTGTGCGCTCGCAGCCGATCCTCCGTAGCAAAAGCTGCCTCACATTTCTCACATTTGAAGGGCCGCTCTGTTGAGTGCACTTGTCTGATGTGACTGTTGAGGTGGTTTGGCCGGGAGAAGCTCTAGCCACAGGGGGAGCAGTTGTAGGGCTTGTGCACACCGCCCCATGTGAGCGCACGTGGTAGCTCGTGCGGTCCTTGCGCTTGAAGCGCTGTTGGCACACCGGGCACTGGTAGGGCTTCTCGTCCGAGTGCGACAGCTTGTTCCGGTTCTGGTGGTAGACATCACGGAAGGCCTTGCTGCACATCTCGCAGGCGTGGTTCTTCCCGGTTGCGTTTCCCCAAGGCGATCGTGGTCACTACGCCGCCGGGAGCCACCGTAGCCGCCTCGCCCCCGCCGGCCGCGCTCTGGAGCACCATGGTGGGCATCTTCATGGCACCTGTCCGGCCCTGGCTCCCGTGTGGATGGCTTCGTGCCTCCGGAGGTTGTAGCCGTTCTTGAACTCCTTGGCGCACGGGGCGCAGATGTAGGGCCCCTTGCTTTTTGTCCTCTCCAAGGCGGACGCGACAGGGGCCATGGCGAGGTGGGGCCGACGACGGCGGCGGCGGCGACGGGGGGGGGGGCAGCCTCGGCGGCGGGCGCCCACACGGACGGGGGTGACGGCGGAGGCGTGGGGGAGCTGCTTCAGGGCCGCTGTGCCCACCGTGGAGGCAGCAGCGGGCTCCGGGGGCGCGGTCACCACGGTGGTGGCGGCGAGCACCGGGAGTAGGTCCACCTGGAGGGGCTCGGCGGCCGGGGCCGGGGGCGCGGGCGCGGCCTGGAAGGGGCTCTGGGCGCAGCCCTGCTAGGCGAAGAAGCGGGACTGGAGCTCAGCCCCGACCTGCAGGGGGTTCTGGGCGTGACCCTGAGGTGGCGGGAAGGAGTTCCTGAGGCTGCCCACCCCCCGGGAGTCCAGGCCCAGCACGGGGAAGGGGGGTGGGCAGCAGCGTGCACGGGAACAGGGGGAACATGGCCTCAGCCGCGCGGGAGCGAAGGAGGGAGGGCTGAGGGCGAGCAGAGCGAGGGTGGGAGGGCCTATCCTAGGTAATTAATTCAAAACATTAAGCTGAGCCTGGCACAATGATGCACATCTGTAATCTTAGCATTCAAGAGGCTCACACGGACAGATCATTGGATCCCAGGAGTCTGAGACCAGTCTGGGCAATATACTAAGACCCTAGCTCAAGAAAGAAAAAAATTAAACTGAACTTTAAAAGAATGAAGCACAGCATAGCCCCCAAAGTGTTTCTTGTACATAATCTGTTTGTCCCCCATCTTTAATAACTAATGGACATTTTCTGATGCAAGTTTTACACAAAGCCGTTTTCAATAAATAGTTCAGTGCACTTGTGTTTTTCAAATTAGGCTTTGTGTGAATTAGACTACTTGGAATATTTATTTCTGATTGTACCAAATATGCCTTACCTCCATGTTATCCTTTTTTAAATTTTTGAATTTTTAATTTTTTTAAAATTAATTTTTCTTTTGGTACCAGGGATCGAACTCCGCACCTTGCACTTGTGAGGCAGGTGGCGGCACCAATGAGCCAAATCCCTGGCCCTTATCCTTTTTTTTAAAGGGATGAATTATAAAGCAGCTTTGAGTTCAGTACTTGTGTCTTGATGAAGAGCTAACTGAAATGCAGGGTATTTCAGACCAGCAACATGGAAGAGTTCTCCAAGGACCAGGAAAGGAAACCAAATACAGGGTTTTCCTGTTGGTTGCCTCAGGGATTTAGGAAGCAGCATATAGAACCTGGTCATCCTAAAATTCTAGTTAGATGAGAAAGCTTATGAAAAATACCAGGTTTTTGAAAAATATGTGGTCAATAGTTAGGAATCAGACCCCATTTCCAGATAGGGAAGCAGATTGAATATTTCACTAAATACACACATCTAATATTCAGGACAGGTATGCTTTCTATCAAAATCAGCTCTGTATGAAATACATGTGACACAGGTTGTTCCAAGGAATTACCATCAACCCAGAATGTATGTATCTGAAATTGTTTTAGTATATATTGATTTATATCTTGCTTGACTACAACTGTATAAGGGCTTATAGCTCTTCTGGCTTATTAACCATTACATCTCTATTGCCTAGATCTGTGTCTGGTACATAGTAGATGCTCAATATATACGGTATATTTTTTAATAAATAGGGTACAAGGAGCTAAGTAGTTTAAAGAATCATTCTTAATTCCTGTGTTTCCATAACTTCAAACCTCAAAGGATAGGAACAACCACTCAGCAGAATAAACACTTCAATAACAGTACTTTCTACCTTCTCTCGAAATAAATTACCTTTATACTTACCTGTTGCTTCATAGCACATTGTGCCAGCAACACTCATTCATTTTGTTCACAAATATGTGATTTAGTCAGACTCATTGAGGACTGTTCATCTCTGGTCCATGTGCTGTCACGGGTGGTTCAGCTGGGGACAAGAGGATCAACTTCTCAGATGCTCTGTACCCCTACCCCCACATCCATACCTGTCTTTGGGCTTCCTTAAAGCATGGCAGCTATGATCCAAGAGCAAGTGTTCCCATAGAGAAGAATCAGGTCCTGCTAGTGTCCCAAAGCCTGAGCCCATCGACTGGCTTGGTCATTTCACTCTATTTTACAGGTCAAGATACACATAGCCCTATCTCAATCTAGTTTTTAAATAATCAGACCAAGAAGTCTACCTCATCCATAGCTTTTTCCTTGGAAACACCTGTCCAGGAATCCTCTGTTCTACCACCTATCAGGTGGTAGAAATCATTTGAATAAGGTGGCAACTAGGTGAAATGCAAAAATGTCGAACACATTGCAAATACTTCCAATTAGTAAACTGTTAAGGTTTATATCTAGATGACCCCCTAAAGTCTCATGCTCATAGGTGGGGCTTTTGAGAGGTGATTGGGTCATGGGTGTAAGATACTGGATTAGTCCACTGATTGAGTTAGCATAGTTCTGAACGTGGATGATGGAATTACTGAAGAGGGAAGACCCCACCTCCACCCCCGAGTGTGGGTGGCACCAAACGATAAAGTTGTAGCCTGGATACAATAAAAAAAGAAGTGTTGCTGCTTCCTGCCTGTCTTGCCATGGATTGTTTGACCTCTGCCATGGAGCCAGGTGATTATGGACTGAAACCTCTACAAAAACTGATCTAAAATAAACCTTTCCTCCTTTTAAGTAGTGAGTGTCAGGTCTGTTCTGTCCCAGCAAGGAGAAAGTAACTAAGACAAACAGTAAAGAGCTTGGCATGATGGCACACACCAGCTACTCCAGAGGCTGAAGTGGGACTCACTTAAGCCTGAGTTCCATATCAGCTTCAGCAGCTTAGCAAGCCCCCTCTACCCCTCCTACAAAAGACATAATTACTAAATACGTATGTGTTCCATCGAGTAATGTAACCGCTTAGAAGACATGAAACCACTTAGCCCTTGACGTTCAGTAAGGCCTACACTTTAGTAATTCTTAGGTAAATGCTAAAATGACTATGGAAATGTTTTTAAACTTAGGAAGTGCTTTCTGTCTACCCTAGGTCAGATCAGTTTTTCCAGTGTCTAACGGATAAAACAAGCAATTACCTACAGAACTACTCTCAAAGTGTTAGGGCCAAAAGTTTCCTTCATAGGCTTTGGTGCCGAACTCCAGATCCCTTTTGTTTTTAAGCAGCATATCTGGAAGGCAATGAGCAAATGCATAGCGATGACAATAAAGAACCCTATGATTTGTTTTCATTACAGGGAACAAAGTACAATAAAAACTTTAAAACTGTTAGGCTGCACATGTCCCACCGTATAAATACAGAAGCCTCTGGTCCTATGTTTCAACGATGAAGGACATTAATTTTAGATGTGATTAACATGTGAAACACATGGGTCTTACATGTCCAATTGGAGGAGGCATAATGACACGCAAGGTAAGACGAAGAGAACAACCGCGTCCCAGCCCACCAGAGGCTCTGGGCTTTGCAGTGAGACCAAAGCGCGCCTCAGGAACCAAGGCTGCTGGATTTTTCCCGAGATCGCCTGGTCTGAGAACGCTCTGCTGTCTCACCGCCGCACCGCGTTCCCAGTGTGCACCGCAGTTTGGGATGCAGTCAGTGGGTGTGGTCGGGGACCATGAAGCCAATCGCCATCCAGATTGTTTGTAGGTGTTAGCGCATTCTGGTTGGCCGGCGCGGAGGCGGCCTCTTGCTCTGGGACCTGTACTGTCTGGTCATTGCGTCAGTTCGGGTCGCCGCGCGGCAGGGCTGACTGCTACTCGCTCTTGGGCTTGCGCGACCTCCGGGTCCCCAGGTAAACCGAGCCCCTCCTGCATGCCTCTCCCATGCCCTTGGGCCGCTCCTGTATTCTGGGTCCTTCCTGCAGAAGCGAGGGTCACACACACGTAATGACCCCCAGACAATACGACGTGGTTTTAAAAGAAAGAGATTATATGCCTTTCTGAGTTAATTGCGTGCATATCTCTTTCCAAAGAGGAAGATTGGAGGAGCCCTAAAGGGACGCTGCAGAACTCAGAACAGGCACGAATCCTGGCCTATCCCCTTGCGCCGGAGTCTCCTATCCAGGAAAGTTTCCTTAGCTGCACGCTGGAGCCGCGGTGGCTCTTGAAGGCCGTAGTTGTGAGAATTCAGGGTGATAAAGCGTTTTGGGGAAGTTCAGAATGTGGGCGAGGTTACAGGCAAATCTAGGTATTTATAAGGACAAAGCAAGGCATAGTTCCAAGTCTCAGGGCCCCCCTATTTTTCTGTAGTTCCCGTGAACCTGCATTTACTGCTAGAGACCTGGGACCGAAGGTGGGTATGCGCGGTGACCCTGTCCTAGACTCATACTGATAATGTAACCGCCAAATGCAGGCCTCACAGAGAGCGTAGAGGAGAAAGGCAGTTATCAGTGGAATGTGGAAGTTGGAGGAGAAGCCTTGTCAGGAGCTGTCATTGGGCTTAATCCTTAAAGATGGGCAGGAGACCATACCTGAAAGTGTTTGAAAGTACCCATCATGTTAGTACTGTTGTCTCCAGCTTAGCATCTGTGTGAGGAATAGGTGGGAAGTGACACTTAGCTTCCAGCTTTTTGAATATATTGTTGCCTTTTTAAATGAGCAGTGAAATGAATAAAAATCTTTCAAAAATTATATACCACATACGGTATAAATTTGTTTATTCGAGACTTGTTCTAAGATGCAGGTCCAGGTTAGGGCTCTGGTAAGCGTCCATAAATTGTCAAGGGCCATCACAGGAGTAATTAGAAGAAATGAATGTATTGATATCTAAAGGCTGTTACTCTTCTGACACAGTGTTTAGGTAGCCACTAAACTAAGTAGGTCTCCTAATAAATCAATAATGCAGAAATTAACATTTCTGTCCTCAAAAGGCTAGAGATTGTAATAAAAGTTGAAGGTCTAAATGGCCTCACAACTTTAATATTAGTAATGTACTCTGATTGGAAATTGCTGTTTGTTAAATGTTCCACCTTTTCTTGTCTTGTTTTTCCTATATAAAATTCAGAGACACTGATCTGAAAACAGAATGAAAGAAAAGGGAAGATAGTGTGGTACTTGTCACAAACTATATGGCCTGAGTCATTTGCTATGCTTAGACTATGATGTTTTCAGTGCTTTCAGAACAGGTTGAGTTATGTAGGGGTCTTTTCTCCTAGAGTTGGTTACTCCAGACTATTGTGATTCTGGGGTGCTTAAGATTTTCATCTTCCTCTTGTTCTCAAATTATTAGCAATCTCTGTTTTCCCTTCTAATCTGACATTCGGTTGGAAATCTGGTTACTAACTTTATTAGAATTTTAAATAAACTTTGAGGATGAGGGGGATCTAGTATGTTTGATAGTTAAGTGTCAGATTGATGGAGTGTCTGTGTACACCTGTAACCCTAGCACTCGGTAGGGTGAGGCAGGAAGATCGCCATGAGGTCAAAGCCAGCTCGGGCTACATAGTGAGTTCAAGGCCAGCCCAAGCTACACAGTGAGACCCTGTCTCAAAAAAAAACACACACAAAAAAAACCCCAAAACAAAACAAAATCAAAAAAAATTGTCTTTGTGTGAGGTTATTAGCAAAACTTTTTAAGACACTTTAAGTGTGACATCTCACACTTGAGTCAAGTCAGAGAGGTATAGGGCTTGTCCATTACAAAAATCATCAATAAATAATAAAAAGGGTAAAATGGAAAATTGGAAAACTGTTTGAATATGAGATTCTCGTATTTATTTGTGGGTGGAGGGGTAGTGGGGATTGAACTCATGGCCTTTGACCTGAGCTGTAGTATCCCCAGGCCCCTTTTATTTTTGAGACAGCCTCGCTAAGTTCCCCAGGTCAGACTTAAACTTGGAGTCCTCTTACCTCAGCCTCCCACAGTGCTCAGATTACAGGCTCCCAACTAGCTTAAGTTAGTTTTCCTCAGAGAAGGTGAGGTTGTTTCAAAAGAAGTGCTTTCTGAATGGCTATTATCAAAAATCAAATAATAGGAGCCGGGGATTTAGCTCAGTGGTTCCTCTGCCTGCCTTGCAAGCGCAAGGTCTCGAGTTCGATTCCCAGTACCAAAAAAAATCACATAATAACAAGCTGACCAAGTTGAGAGGACAAAGGGACCCTCCTACCACCCTTGTTGGTGGGAATATAAACTGGTACAGCCATCATGGAAAACATTGTGGAAATCATTGTGGAGATTCTTCAAAAACTAAAAATAGAAATTTCATTGAACCCAGCTATTCCCTGTCCTAAAAGAGTTAAAATATCATTACAATGCTACATGCAAACCCATGTTTATTGCGACACAATTCATAATAGGTAAATCTTGAAAGTGGCCTATATGTCTCTCAACAGAGGAATATATAAAGAAAATGTGGTATTTATGTGCAGTGGAGTACTACTCCATTGATAAATTTAAGTCATAAAGAATGATAAATTTAAATCATTTGTAGGAAAATGGACCATGAGATCATAATGTTAAGTGAAGTAAATCAAACACACATACTTAAACTTGGCATGGTTTCTCTTACATGAGAAACTCAAAGTATAAATCATAGAGCAAAATAAAAGATACATTATAGGAAACAGGGAGTAGATCTTTTGCAAATGAGAAAGGGACCAAGAGATGGAGGGAGGAGAAGAAAGGGATGTTAAAAGAATTAACGTGTTAAGTTCCTGTACCAGCTCCCCCCAATGAATGTAATCATTATGTACTGCAAACATGTACTAATAAAAATTTTTAGAAAGTGCTTTCTGTCATGTGAATATAGATAAGAAAATTCCTAGCTATTTTGAGATTTTTCTTTCCAGTTATTAATGAGCTTTTAGCACCATGAGATAGAATTTCCAAGATTTTCCTTTTAATTTTGGAAACATGTTGTTTGCAATCACTATTGAAAATTATAATAATATGATTAGGACAGTTTTGTAATAATTTGAAAGGTACCGTGTACCCCTATATCACACCATGTACAAAAGTAACTCAGAATGCATCATCAGCTTAAATGTTAATTAAAGCCAGGCATTGTTGGTACATTTCTGTAATCCCAGCACTCTGTGAGACTGAGGCAAGAGGACTGCAAGTTTAAGCCACGCCTGGGCAACTGAGTGATGTCCTGTCTCAATTTTTTTTTTTTTTGATGATTAGGGGAGTTAATCTCCATCAAGACATTTTATTGAAATGTTTCTCCGATACAGCAGTCAGAATCTTCAAAAGGGGCAGAACAGAGTACAATCAAAGCTTCTGCAGCTTAAATCTCTTAGTCCTAAACCTGAGTTAAGCAAGTCAAAGCAACTTTCCTCCAAACTAAATGGGTCTCCAGTATGTCCATCGAGTTGAGCTTTCAGAGACAGATGCTTAAGACTTAATACATAAACCATCTTGGCTATGGTTGCATTAATTATGTCTGAAGAGCTTAATACCCATCCAAGTCCAGAAGTCGAAGAACACATACACTGGTATGGAGATGGACAAGAGCAGACTGTAAAAGCAAAGGCTGGCTGTGCTAGTGCAGCCCTGTGGGAAGTTTTCCTCCACAGAGGCGGAGTAGAAGATTCCTACTAAGAAGATCAGTGGAATAAGAACAGTCAGTGTAGGCAGAGACAGAAACATTCTTCTTCCCCACTTACCATCCGCCACCGTGTTTTAAATTGTATATAGTATTAAAACGTAGTTGTGTTTTTAAAATGATGATTTAGTGCTGCTCTGTTTCTTCTTGCTTATTTTGATGTGTTGTTCTAGCTGCTTGTGGTATCGTATTAGGAATTCCATCAGTGATCGGATAAGCTATTGCCAATTCTTCATTAATCAATTCATTTGTTGATGCTTCATATTGGAGCGGCTTCTTGGACAAAGGGCACACTAGGAACTCCAGCAGCGCGGGGTCGAAGGTGCGAGGCGGCTCCTCCGCCCTCTCTCTCCGACCCGCCGCCGCCGAGGACCGAGAGCCCGTCGCCCGCAAGCACCTTCGGAGGGGCGGCGGCGGCGCGCGCTCCCCGCAACACTGAGGCGATCCCGCGGCCCACTGCACTCAGCATGGTCTCCCTGTCTCAAATTTTAAAAAGGATGGGGTATAGCTCAGTGTAGTGCTCTAGGTTCAATCCCTAGTACATCACTCCCCCCAGAATAGTAATAATAGTAATTTTCTAACCAAAAATTTGCAGTGTTAGTTGAGAGTGGTGCTGCATGCCTGGGAACCCAGCACTTGTGAGGCTGGGGTGGGAGGATCACATGTTTGAGGCCAGTCTGGGAAACTTTGGGAGACCTTGTCTCAAAAAAAAAGAAAGACTGGGGGCTGGGGATTTAGCTCAGTAGTGCTGCCACCTGCCTCACAAGCTCAAGGTCCCAAGTTCAATCCCCGGTACCGCAAAAAAAAAAAGGATGGAGCTCAGTGGTGGCTCCATCCTCAGTACTGAAAAATAAGGAAAATTCTTACAATTTAATCATGAAACGACAAACCACTTAAAAAAATGAGCAAAGGCTGAATAAACATTTATCTCAAGAACACACACAAATTGCCAATAAGCACATAAAAAGAGGCTCAACATCCTTAGTCGTTAGGGAGATGCAAATCAAAACCACATTTAGAGACTTCATTATGGCCTCTAAAATGGCCATAATCCAAAGGTGGACAGAAAGAAGTATTAAGGATGACAGGGAGAAATTGGCATCCTTATTTGCTGCTAGGGTGTAAAATGGTGTGGTTACTATGTTTTTTCACTTTCTGGTTTTCAGTGCTGGCAGTCCAACCCAGGCCTCATACATGCAAGGCATGCGCTCTATCACTGAGCTGTATCCACAGCGTGGTGAGGTTACTTTGGAAAACACTTTCGCAGTTTCTCAGAAAGTTAAATATAAAATTAATACATGACCCAGAAATTTTGCACTTAGTTATTTATATACCCAACAGCAATGAAAACATATCCATAGGAAAACTTGTATTTAAATATTCATTGCAGCATTATTCACAATAGCAAAAAGTCAAAACAATCCAGCGTCTGTGAAGTGATAAGCAAAATTAGCATATCCATACAGTGGAATATTATTCAGCCATAAAAAGTAATGAAATATGAGTACATGTTACAACGCGAATAAACTATGTAAACCTGCTAAGGAAATTAAACCAGACACAATAGGCTTATAGGTGATTCATATCAAATTTCCCATTTGTATGAAATGTCCAGAATTGTTTAGAAAGTGGATTAATGATTGCCAGGGCTGAAAGATAAGAGAACGTAATGATTATTAGAAATGAGAATTGAAAATGTTCTGAAATTAGATAGTGATAATGATTGCACAAACTTGTGAATGTATAAAAATGACTGAATTTTCAAAGTGTTCACTCTATGATATGTGAACTTTATCTCAATAAAGATAATTTTAATGGAGTATCATGTATAGATAGTAATGTGTACACTTACTTTAATCATATAGGACCCTGCTATTACTAGATTTCTATTATTGATAATAATTTTAATTTCTCTTACAGCAACAGAATGGTTCAACAAGTGCCAGAAAACATCAGTTTTCCTGCTGAAGAAGAAAAGATATTGCAGTTCTGGTCTGACTTTAATTGTTTTCAGGAATGCTTAAAGCAATCAAAACATAGGCCAAAGTATGTGAATTTTTTTTTTTTGTAAAAGTAGAGTCCTTAAGAGTAGTTATTTCTTAGACTAAATTCCATTAAAGCAGAAACCATTTATTCATCTTTGTATTCAGTCTCCTAGCTCTCTACATAATTAATCCTCCATAGTAGATAAATGTTGAATGAATGAGTTCTTTTTTATTAGAGTAGATTCGGTTTAAAAGGTCATCTGACTAGAGAGCATATACTACCCTCCTCCTTTCTACCTTTCTCATCATCCCAACCTTCAGTTAGCACTTACACATAAGTACAAGTCCCCCATCAAAGGCTACTATAATACTTCTGCCCCTTGTCTCCAGTCACATAAAAGACCACTGTTTCTATTATGTGTCTTCTGTGTGCAAAAACTTTGTCTATTGACTTGTTTTACTGAAGATCAGGATTAATAATTTCCTTATGGGAAATTTGTTGTGGGAATAATAAATGAAAAATTAATAATCAAATGGCAGTCTCTCCAGCTGTATCATAACTGATGGTAGTAGCCTTTCTGAACATAGGACCTTCATAAATACCTAATCAGTTATGTCTGAATGTCCTGGATTTGCTACTTTTTTCTTCTCCCTAAATACTGTGTCAGGAGCTAACCATAGAAAAATGTCCTAAATTTTTTCTGTTGTAAAATGACTTTAACATATTTTTATTACCTCTATTAGATTTACCTTCTACGATGGTCCTCCTTTTGCAACTGGACTGCCTCACTACGGACATATTCTTGCAGGGACAATTAAAGACATAGTCACAAGATATGCTCATCAGAGTGGGTTTCATGTTGATAGAAGATTTGGATGGGATTGTCATGGTTTACCTGTGGTATGAGTCTTTTGCCTTATAATGTTCTGATTTTTTATAAGCATTATATTCTATCATGTAATATGTTAAAGGTGATTACTTTTTATTATGTATTATACTTTATTCTACTTCATTTCCATAATAATGTGGTTCATTTTCTTTGTAGATATTCTGAAAAGTAATTTTTGTAGAACACTTATTTTTTAGATTTAGTTGTATTTATTTCATAAGGTGGGCATGTTAAGAATCTTGCCACAAAATTTCAGGAATATGAAATCGATAAGACACTGGGAATCAGAGGGCCAGAGGATGTGGCCAAAATGGGGATTGCAGAGTATAACAATCAGTGCCGTGCAATTGTGATGAGATATTCTTCTGAATGGAAGGTATGTTCAATTCTCTTCAGTTAAATGAAAAGAAAGTTGTTTTTAAATGGGTATTGAAATGGTTTACGGTCCTTTCAGCTTTTGATGAGATGTTCCTGAAAGTATGGCTGTCGGTGTGAGGTTGTGACACTAGATGAGTTTACCCTCCTCTTTGCAATGTATACCTAAGAGAGGCTCCTTAGCTTTCACCTGCAAACCCATCAGATTAAATTGAACCCTCTCTTTGCTGATTTCTGAGTGATTGGTTCGGTTTCCATATTTAAACTGCCTACCCCACAGTATATGACAGGAGTCAGTGTTGAGGCAATCAGGTTTGCTTAAATGCTCCAATGCAGTAATTCAAGTGTTTTTTAAATTTCCAATTTGGACCCATTCCTGTGATACTAATTTGAGTTCCATGTTAATAGAGCAACATGAAGGAGCTGCAGAACTACTAACAATAGAGCAGAAGCTGCAGAACTCCTGCCCTCTTGTTTTTCTGGGCATGGAAACAAAGCTCCCTCTCTCCTCCTTTCCTCTCAGATGAGATTAGCATGTCTGTATAACTTAAAAGCATGTCTGGATTCCCGCCCCCCCCCCCCCGCCATATTCTCCATCTTCCCTTCAACTTCTCAAAATGTGTTCAGAATTCCCTGTTCTGCCAGTTGTGTCATTGCTTCCAGTTTTTAAACATTAATTCCCATGATCACATCAGTTATCCATTCCTGCCAAGACTTTCTTCTTAGTATATAGTCATTCCTTTTATTTATTTATTTTTCTTTTTGTTGTTGTTGTTGAGACAAGGCCTCACTATGCAGTTCAGGCTGACCTTGAGCACACTAGGTAGCCCAAGCTGGCCTTGCATTCACAGCAGTCCTCTTGCCTCAGCCTCCCAAGTGTTGGGATTACAGCCGTGTGCCACCACACTCAGCAATATATAGTCATTCCGACAGGCTTTCCTTAACCTCTCGCCCACCATCTTTTCTATAGCAGTCTGCTAATCACTTTCCTTTTCATGATCTTTCCACACAGGCTGGAGTATTCTGTCTCCTGCAGTTTTGTTTTCATTGTGTTTTTCCTCTGCTTAAAAGCCTGCGTAGCTTGGGGCCGGGGATTTAGCTCAGTGGTTTCGCCGCGTGCTGCGCAAGCACAAGGACCCGAGTTTGATCTCCACTACCCAAAAAAAAAACCCCTGAGTAGCTTCTCTTCTTTGACATATAAAGTCTTATTTCTTTAAATGAAAATCAGAGCTTCTTAATTTTATCTCAGCCTTGTTTTCTTACATGACCAGTAAGGGAAAATACTGCTAAATAGAGCATGGTTACAGACCTTTTCTTTCCTTTAGGTTTTTTTTTTTTTTCCTTAAACTTAAAAAGCTTTTTAAACTTTTCATTTTGAAATAATTTCAGACATATTAAAAACTTGCAGATATGGTATGAAGAGTTCTTCACCAATTGCTAACATCTTTGATAATGGTAATACAATTTCAAAAGCAGTAGGTTAGTGTCAGGGAAATATTACAGCTTTATTTAATATCACTAATTATTTCACTAATTATTATTTTTGATCCAAGATCCAGTCCAGGATCACAACATTGCCTTTAGAAGTTGTGTCTTCTTAGACTCCTTTAACATGAAACATTCATTCAGCCCTTCTTTGTCTTTCATGACCTTGTCACTTTTGAAGAGTGCAAACCAGTTATTTCATAGCATGTCCCTCAATCTCTTATGTTTCCTTATAATTCAAGTGATGCATTTTGGTAAGAATACCTCAGAAGTAACACCCTGCACTTCTCCATGTATCTTATCAGAGGAGAAATGTTGCTGCTATGTCTCATTGATAACTTTGTTCACTTAATTATGTTGTTTTCAGTGTCAGGTTTCTCCTTTGTAAAGTTGCAGTTTTTGCTTTTAGCTATTAAGTACCTGGTAGAGAAATTCTTTGCAAATATTCTTTTTCTTAATAATACTTTGATTCGTTAATTTTAGCATCCATTTACTCATGTTAGCAACAGTTATACCTGTGTTGCCAAAAGGTGCTTTTATATAAATGAATATTAACCAGTAGACCCTCAAGTTACAACCAGCTTGACATATGAACAGCTTGGATTATGATCAGAATTTTACTTTTAACTTATGACCAACGTCTTAAGTTATTACCTGAGTGCTGACTGCTTGTGCTTTCAGATGGTCTTAGATACAGGTTTAATCCTTAAAGAGTTCTGGAAGGAACATTACAACATCCTTTCCTGAATGAGGTTAATTGAGAAATCCTGGGCCAGTGTCTAATGACACTGAGATCTGCCTGTATATAGGAGAGAGTCTTTGAAGGCTGCGTAGAGGAGCTTGAGCCTTCACTTGACAACTTGAATTAAAATCAGCCCTCAGGAACAAATTGAGTTCCTAAGTCAAGGGTCTACTACTTGTAAGTAACTTCTTTGTATAGAATGAATGCAGGCCAAAAAACCTGGATCTTAACCTTACATAGTGTTTTCTCTGAAATACTGATTTACTTTAACCGTTGGTAGTTCTGATTTCCTAAAATTTTACATGATGACAGTGAGAGTAAAGAACACACATTGGTGTATAAGGACAAATAACATTATCTAATGCTACTCTAATATTCATTCTTTTAAAGTCTATTATTACCAGACTTGGCCGATGGATTGACTTTGACAACGACTACAAAACTCTGTATCCACAATTCATGGAATCTGTCTGGTAGGTTTATTTTAAATTGCAAATGTGATTGATATGCTGCTGTATTTGTCAATGGAGAGGTGTGTTAGCATGAATTAGTTTGTTTTCAGATCCAGTTGTCAGGAGCAGGTATGTTTTGGATTTGATAAATACACTATCATATCCATATATTCTTTAAGATGTAAATAAATGCAGTAGGTTGAACAGCAACGTACAATCAAATACATTCACATTCCTGCCTCATTAAGTAGAATAAAGAATATGAATGGCTTGACATCAACTAAAGTTATTTTGCCAAATTAATCGATGCCAAATTTAGGAAAAATTAGTTTTTAAAAGTACTTTTCCTGGGCTGGGGATCTAGCTCAGTGGTTTCGCTGCCTGCCTTGCAAGCGGAAGGACCCGAGTTTGATCCCCGGTACCAAAAAAAAAAAAGAAAGTAAAAGTACTTTTCCTTGTGGGTTTTTTTTTTAAGGAATTAACCCTGAAAAATTGTGCATTTCAATTCAATGCTGAAAGATTCTGTATAGTGAACAGACTATTCTGTAAAGTTCCAAATTAAATTTATTTCTTTTTATTATCATGAGATAGTAGAAGTAATGCCAGTCTTGATGGCTGGTTTAACTTGGGTCTCCTAATAGTCTGGTAATCATTACTGGTCAAGCAGGTACCATTATTATGGTTGCAGAATGCCCTGGATATATAACTTAGCCTGGAGGAAATCATATTTTTATTAAGTTATATATAAAAGTATAAGTGGGCTAGGGATTTAGCTCAGTGGTTCTGCCGCCTGCCTCACAACTGTAAGGACCCAAGTTTGATCCCTTGTACCAAAAAAAAAAGTATAGGTGAGTTACAAAGCTGTTTTGTAAGGTGCAATTTCTTTGCCTAACTTTGTAAATATTTGTGGCTTTTACTGCCTTATCTACCTATTCCTGTTTCTCTGAGGATCTAGGCATAGTTACTCAGATCCCTTACTGAT